AATCTCTGGTTATTCATTTATATTTGATTCAGAAAATAAAAATAAAAAAATAACAGCAATGCAAGGAATTTGTACGAACGTAAAAAAACACAATATATTTTTTTTAAACTCTGACATTTTGATTTTCTTCGTTTATCATTATTACTTTAATATTGTTTCATTTACAATGTTTTTTTACACTATTTATATTGTTCGGACTGTTGTCTTCATCCTTCTTGTCATATTCACGACGTTTCGGCCGCTGTACTCTCTGGCCTTCTTCAAGATCTGTCTATATTTCTGAAATAAGGTATTGTAACTAGTTACACTATTTATATTGTTCGGACTGTTGTCCTCATCTTTGTTGTCATATTGACGACGTTTCGGCCGTTGTACGCTCCGTCCTTCTTCAGGTGTTTGGAATTTCTAACTGAACCCTTTATTTTGTCCACTGGGCTAGATTCTTCTAGATATCTCAGTTTCATTTTCAGTTATTATTCAGCTCTCCAAGTCTTTGTTCCTCTGCAGTGGCTAGGTATTGAACTGTCAACTCCTATGGGTCAAGTCACTGGATTACTTCAGTCAATGCTTTTAACCACTGGGCCTTGTGGACGTCAGCGTATGATTTTTGGAATTTACAAACCTAATGTCTCAGTAATTATTTTTTTCGCCTGGGCTCATATTGCAACTCATTGTTATTGTTTTTCTCAAGCACACTGTATTGCTGGTTCCCATATTTTATTCATGTCTATGTTTGACCGGCTTAGGAGATTTTTGTGGGGTAGCATATGACTGAAACTGAGATATCCGGAAGAGGCATGGCACGTGGAACTAGAACAATCTACCCCCCCGGTGGACGAAATAAAGGGTTCGTTTTTGTTCAAAATTCCAATCACCTGAAGAAGGCCGGACAAAGATGAGGACAATAGTCCGAACAATGTAAATAGTGTAAATAGTTACAATATCTCATCTCAGAAATATAGACAGAACCTGAAGAAGGTCGGAACGTACAACGGCCGAAACGTTGTGAATATGGCAATAAAGATAAGTACGAACGATGTAAATAATGTAAATAACAAAGAACGTTTAAATGCAAACTTTTATCAAAATAGGAAGATACTTATATAATTTATTTTCGGACTATTGTCCTCATCTTCTTGTTGTGAACACTACGTTTCGACCGTAGTGCAGTACGGCCTTCCTCAAGTGTATATCGATCTGGGTAACCTACAGGGAGTTCTAAACTGAACCCTTTATTTAATCTACGAGGTGGGGGATCAAACTGTTATCGTTCCACTGCTCATGTCCAGGGATATCGTTTAGTTCTTCTTTTTATTAGTTCTAGTTGTAGACTACCCCTCAGGAAGGCCGGAGAGCACAACAGCCGAAACGTAGTGATAACAACAACAAAGATGTGGACAATAGTCCGAATATAAATTACCATATTTATTCACATTTATCTACTCTGTTAAGTGCCCTTAGGAGTACATGGCCCAGTGGGTAAAAGCGTTGTACTGAGTTATCCATAATAGATGAAAAAAAAAAAAAAAAAAAAAAAAACTTGTTACGTTACTAAAGGGAAATAACTGATAATGAGATATGCAGAAAAGGCATGGCACGTGGAATTAGAACAATCTACCTACGTGAGCTAAATAAAAGGTCCGGTTCGAAATTCCAACGTATATCATTTGTAGTGATTTTTGACGGTCACAATTTTCATTGGGGGGGGGGCTTGTGACAAAGAATAATTTTAGGTCGTCTCGGCATGGAGTAATAGTTAACGAGCTAGTCTGTTTAATCATTACTACTGAATAGTGACTTCCATCCTTACAACGCGCCCCGTATTTGTGACCTTTTGACAAATTTAGTTTATTTTAAGACGTCTCGGCATGAGATGAAGGATTAGCAAGCTAGTTTGATCAACCATGTGTAGTGTGTTCGTTCCTCACTGAGTGCCTCATAAGTATGGGATTGTGCCAAAAACTAAGCTTAGTAAGGAGTAACTTCTAAAAACACATTCAATATGATTTGCTGAAGTATAGAGAGTGACATACCGCAGAAACTGACTTAACCAGCTTCGCTTATTTTTGTACGTGGTCAGAAGGGTGGATCGAACTCACTTCTCAGGATATGCTCCCAATTGCATTTATATATCGGTTTGACAGTATTCGTGCATCGGCCGAGAAGATACACATTGCATTAATCATCGAACCAATAATCCTTATTAGACGTACGATAAAAATTGATGATTATTTCTAAATATAATATTCTATATTGGATCTGGACAACGTCGGATTATCACTTTAGTATGAATTTCATCTAATTGCGTCTACGCTTATCATATTTCTAGTTTGATGAAGAAACGATCGCAGACAATCGCTTGGAGACAAACGTTTTCAGTAAGCGAGAAAATGTGTTGTCTACATGTTTATATTACGCTTAGAAAATGAGAAATGCTCGAGTGCACGGAATGATATTCGGGGATGGAATTGGTTTTTATTTAAAATGTCGGCTGAAAAAAAAAATAATTTTATCATATTTAAAAAGTAGGAATTTTTAATATAAAACGCTTCAGAGGTTTTAACTAATTAGCATAATCTAATGTGAACACCAACAGCAATTAATTTAAATATTTTTTAGTGATAAAACTATTTCGTCCAGTGTAACGATGGAAAGTTTAGAAAGTAAGTGATGACGTCGGAGCTACGAAATTCCTTTTCACTCTCACTGGGCGCGCACGCACGCACGCACACACACACACACACACACACACACACACACACACAAATATATATATTTATGAAAAATTTCTTAGAGTTAACCTGTAGAAAAAGACAATATTTATAAATTTAAAAGACAGTAGGAAAACTGTAATAGTTACTGACGCGTTTCGTCCAATGTGGATTTTTTCAAGGCAAAAACGAAATGAATTTATGAAACAAAGTAACCAATAATAACAAAACAAAATGTCCTTAGCAACTGGAAGAATTTAGAGAACGCTATTTTCATACTGTTAACTGAAAATTACGTCAATTATTGTCACGTGTGGACATATTGTTTTTATTTCTTTGTTGACGGATTCAACCTTTTTCTTTTGATTTCTTGATACTGCTATGTACGTTTGTTTGGGAGAGTAGTAATTCTGTCAAGAAAGGTGAAATAGGGAAAAGCCTGGGCGTAGATTAGTATTTGGGCAATAATCAATGCCAATATTTACTTAAAGAAGAAATATACATAGAAAACACATTCAAAAACCTACAATACCCATATCATTTCATCCACAACGCAAGAAGAAAGGCATACAAAATATACAACCGAAACAAAAAATAATAACATAATCCGAAATAACAAATTGCATGAAAACAGATGCATTTCGTTTTTGCCTTGAAAAAGTCTACATCGGACGAAACGCGTCGGCAACTATTACAATTTTCCTATTGTCTTTTAAATTTATAAATATATATTTATATATATATATACCGGGTGTACCAGCAAAAATGCCCAAATTGTGTAACAGCATAATTGTCCATCCCACAAAATATCTAAAAAAAACAAAAAATAAAGAAAATAAACTAAGTTTCTTTTTTTTTCCATGTTTTCAGATAAGATGTTTAGCCATCTTGATACCATTTGTCCTAAGAATCACTAAAAAAAAATCCTTTGAGTTATTCAGATAGAAAGAGAACAGGTTAAAATTGTTATGTGTCAGACCCGCTTGTCTTCCTAACTGAGCAATGGTGAGAAGAAAAAGATCATTCAGGTGTCTAGATTTCAATGTATAGCATGAATTTCCTTAAATACTTATAAAAAAATTATATATGTATGAGCAGAAATGGAAAAGTTACTTCCCTTATACCGGGACCATCCCCCCCACCACCACCACCAAAAGAAAACACGTGAACTTTGAACTTTGAACTTTGAAAACTAGAACGCTGCATAAGCAAAAAAAAAAAAAAAAAATGAACAGTTGAAATGATTTGAATTGGCAGAAACGCATATACATACTGACAGATAATTTAATCCCTTGAAGATGGTCTCAGATTAGATTGAAAGTACTTGGGAAAATAAAAACTATTCGAAAGAAAATTTGGTATTTTTCTTAATCAATTTTCTAAATCTGTCAAGAAATTAATCCGCAAACTTGAAAAGATCACAACGAAAACTAATCGATAAGATATTTTTAAATTATTTAACCAAAACCTATTTGAATGAAAATATGTTGCCTAAATATACACTATATATATATATATATATATATATATATATATATATATATATATATATATATATGCCTGCTTGCAAAAATCTTCTTAAAATAATTTGTATGTTTATTAATGTTTATTAATCCTGAGTAAAATATGTTTGAAATATGTTCGCTAATATATTTTCCATATCCAACTCAGACCGACCATTGTTTCGTTATCCAATCATACCCAGCTATGGGTTAAATAGCAGGGTATACTGAGCTTGCTAACCTTGAGTACCTGCAGCATAGGAGAAAGACATCTCTGAATTTAAAACCGTGGAGAAGGCAACGGGAGATAATTCTGGCATATCTCTCAAGAAGTCATGGCAATAAATGCATATTAAAAACAAAGGAAGTTATAGAGCGACATGACCGTCTAAGTCTTGAAGGACATGACATTAAAATCTGATGCTTTCACTTGAAGACGACTGAAACATTTTTGTTTGAATCTTTAGACAATTAACAAAAATGAGAATAGGCAAGTACAATTAACGAAATGAACAATTATAGATTTCATCATGATTGATTTAAGGCATAAAGAGGTTTTTAGTGTCATAGTTTATTAATCATTTCATTGTGGCAGAGAGCAATAGTCATCCTTGAAGTAATAATTATAGTAATATAGAATTTTGTTTATAGATGAGAAAAATAATCTGGGTAAATGTTGTGCCCAGAGGATCTGTGCTTCGTCAGAATTAGTAACATAGCATGTCAAAACTATGGTGTTTATATGGACAAGGGAAGACCGATTGGGAAGAAGAGATTGCTCGTTTATTCATAACGGAGAGAGGTCAATAATCAAGTTGTAATGTAAGTTTCTGTCGCTACCAGCGCGTTTATTTAAGCGCATGTTTGTGCGAAAACAGTCAGAGTCGAGAGAGTCGAGTGGGAGTCGAGAGACAGTCGAGTCGACGTAGCAGTTGACGAAAGAGAGAGAGAGAGAGGGGGGCGCTGAGAGTAAAAGCGCCGGCTTGCTGCTGTAATAAGGTTAATGCTTGCTGAGTGAATTAATTACGGCAACTACTAAGAACAAAAAAGGTGAACCCAAAAGGTACTTCTCTCCTTTTAGAATTATTTGCAATATTTGTTTGTTTTTTTTAATCTGGACTTTATTGCTTATACCCTACTTTCTTGTCAAGGAAACATTATTCTTTTGTGCCGATTTCTTCCTTATATACATCTACATAATTTTTTCTTTGGACTCGAATCCACTTGTTCATATTTGATCTTTTTTTTTTCTTCTGCTTCGCTCGATTCTCGCCCCAACGAATTTGCAAGTAGACCAGCTGAATCTTCCAGGATCAAAAAATCACAACGTGGCTGAAAAGTGGAATAATATTGACATTGTGAACCGGAGACTTTGATTGAACCTGTAATATTGGGCCAGGATCGGATCAACAGACGGGCTTGTAGAGTACACCGATCCAGTGGGATCAGGATAGGCGTTACATTATCAGAAGCAAGGATATAAAGCCACTAAGACATAAGAGGGTCATCGAGGATGAAAAACAATTGAGTGTAGTAGGAAATAAATATTTTATCAAAGGGAAATGACAGTAAAAAAATGAACAGCATTCAAGGAGACAGAAGATGACCATTGACGTTGCATTTAAGTTTCTGGACATCGTAGTTTTCAGGAAAGCTGGGAGAGAGTCCCACAAGCAAGAAGTGCGAGCGAAGAAACTATTAGAGTAGAACTTATGGTTACATCTCCTCATTTCAAGAGCAAAATGATGAGACCAAGCTGCCAATCTAGTACTGCGTTTAAATTCATGAAGTCTAGGTACTGTTGTAACCTAGGAAGGGTTACTGAATGAGGAATAAGCAAAACGGAGGTTGGAAATGAAACAGTAATCTTTATAACATCAACAAAATACAATACTCGCCAGCGACGTGAAGTAGGCAAACCACTGTTAGTGGTGGACTACTTAGACAGCATATTACGATATTTACCTGCCTTCCCACGAGGTAGGATGTAGCACAAATCCAAATTTAATATGGGAAAATCCAAGCCCGTGGGCTCGGACAAAAATTGCCCGTAGACCCCGCATATCGGGATCGGGTATCTGTCTACCGGCCTGGACGAGACTCTGCGCTTCGGCATAGCCTCGGCCGGGTTCCTCTCTGTCCAAAGGTAGAGAGTTCGACACGGCAAGAGCTTCCCATGCCGACAGCCAGTTTAGGCAGCATATTGCCCCCACTTGCAATAGTGTACGGTATATAACAGGTATCAAACAGGAAAGCTCATCAGAACTATTGCCCTGTAAATAGTTATAGAAAAGACACAAGAAAGATACGTTGGGCGGTGGGAACGTAATTGAAAACGTGATGCCAGGTCAGAAACGATAACATTTTAGATTCTTATTTGGATTTTGTCAAGAATCTCGGCGTAGCAGAAGCACTAGACCAGACGTAACGGTAATATTAAATATAAAATTAAAATGACTATATACTTGTAAAATCTTATATGTATTACTGTGTACGTTATATGCATGAATTAAGTCTCAGTTTTATAAATCATTGCCCAACAAACACCATCTTAGACTATCAGCTAATTATAAAGACATATGTATTCAATTCATCTTGAATAACTTAATGTCATTTAATTTTAAGAACACTAAATTCAGAAAAAATGTCACTGTTCACAACAATGTGATTCTATAACTACGTTTTCATTGGTACTGATAAAAATGAAAACAAAAATTCACAGTCACTAATCGATTTTGGTTTTTCATATGCCATTCTATGGACACGTGTGCCGGCAGAAATGGAAACAAAGAAAGAACTACATTTGAACCAGTCTCTGAAGAATTGGCAGACATATAAAAATAATGTCAAATAGGACATCGTATTTTGTACAGACAAATCAAGATCGCTTAGCAAATGACATAAGCTGAAAAATGACGCGGTTTGGTTTGATTGGGTTTGTTTTACAGCATATCAACCTCAATGGGTTATCTAATGCCGACAAGATTTTTATTGCTGGTAATAATTTTTTTTTCAAAAATGTGTAGCTGGTATTTTTTTTTTAATATATTGCTGGTATGATTTTTATTCAAAAGTTTATTGCTGGTAATAATTCTTACAAAGTATTTCTGGTATAATTTTTTTTTTTTTTACATTTTCATAGTGCTTTGGCCCTAGTTTGGGGGTTAACTATTTACACATAACTGGGACCCTAACAGATACTACCACCCCAGGTGGACCTGATTTGGTTTGTTTGGTTTTATTGTACGGCATATCAAATTAAATTCGGGTTATTTAATGCCGACAAAATTTTTATTGCTTGTAATATTATTTCCTTCAAAAAATCTATTTCTGGTAATATTTTCCTTCAAAAATGTATCGCTGGTAATTTTTTTCCAAAAAATCTATAGCTGGTAATATTTTTTCCAGAAATGTATAGCTGGTAATATTTTTTCCAAAAATGTATTTCTGGTAATATTTTTTCCCCAAAAATTTATTGCTTGTAGTAATTTTTACGAAGTAAATCTGGTATTAAAACCTATTTTTACACTTTCATTATGTTTTGACCCCAATTTGGGGATTAAGTATTTGCCCATAGCTGTCACCCTAATAGATGCTACCACCCCGGCTCAGAGTGGACCTGGGAACCCCAACAATTAAGAGGTTGTTCCTTGATCAGAGGCCTTGCTGTTGGACGTAGTTTATCGTCTTACCCAGGACGCGGATGTAGTTTATCGTCATACCCAGGACGCGGATGTAGTTTATCATCGTAACCAGGACGTAAATGACGTGTATTTTGACAGGCATACAATAAGTAGTCATAGACAATTAGTCATTGATAAACATCATTCTGTTTTATTTGTAGATGGCCAGATTAGGATTTAGAAACGAGGAAATTGTCGCTAAGCTCTATGGGCATAATGTGGAGGCTGCATGTTCTACGTATAGAGTTTCGCTAAGGTTTAAATTAATATTATTTGCATTCAGACTAATGTCATCGTCGTTACTATTATCATCACAACGTTTCGACCGCTGTGCCTTCTTCAGGACAATAATTTAGGGGATTAAAGTGTTGTTCCTTGAATTTGGTTACATAACGAATGAGATAATAATAACAAATATGTGGACATTAGTCCAAATGTAAATAACGAAAGTACTTTTGATCCTAGAAACCCAGAAAACTTAAATTGAAGAGAAATTATTTCAGTTCTTCCTGAAAAACGAAACCCTGCACGGATTATTCGTCAGGATTAGTCATAGACAACAATAGTATAATGAAAGACATTTATACTTTCCATTTGATAATGACTAATCAATAATAATTATGAATAGACCATATCATAAAGTTTGATATACCGCTAAAAACACAGTCCACACAAGTTAAAATAAACAGTTGTTATTTACTGAAGAAATCTAATATTGCTTTTCCCTTTTCGTAAGCGACTTTAAGAAATTAGCTTTTTAAGTGGTTAAGGGATATCTTCTCTTTCTACAAAGTGTAACAAAGTCTGGATTTTTGTCAAACTTGTTGCCAACCAATAAGCCTTCAAGGCCAAAACATTTCTTTCTCTAAAAGATTTAATATCACAGGCCAATGAAAATATTAACTCTTTCTAAATGGAGATGGTTTCCTCTTGACTTTTGTGACGATAATGAATTTTCTCAGATATAATTAAGTAAGTCTATATTAAAGAAACAACTTTATATCCTGTATGACGTGGAAATACATGGATGCATTTGAAAACAAAATCGGAAAACCTTTTATACAATAATGTAACACAACTACAGTATATAAGCCGATTTAATATATAATACGACCTCTGACCCCGATTTTTTCGTATATCTTGAGTATAATGCAACCACTGATTCTGAACAACACTACTCGTTCTAACGGGGTTAAATATTGAAGCACTGGGCATCACTCTTGACAAATTTTATAGCAAATAAACGGTCTTCATTCTTTCTTTTCAAAGCTATCCCAAAATGGTGATAAAATCTACTTTCCGTGAGATATCTGATACAAAGATTTAGATAAAAAACGAGGAAAGACTAACAGTTGGAAGATGAAGTGATGGCTAAAGGAGCTTACCTGTACTGTTGAGATTAGGCAAAGGTACCACGTGAATGTCGGCCTACCAGGTGGGTTAGGGTCACCGAAAACGCATGATTTTTAACCCTTCCAGAAAAAATTACCTGTGTATAGTGCGACCCCTATTTTTTGCGTAAAAACTGATCATAAAACCTCGCACTATATTTATATATATATATTAAGCATTTCACCCCAAGCAAGGTGAGTGTGCTACTAGCAAGCAACAGGTTACAGAGAGTGAGAGCAAGAGGAAAGAGGCGTGAGTGAGGAAAATATAAAGAGGAGAACGGGAAACAAGATCAAAAGCATCAGAAGATGTCGATTGACATTACATTTGAATATTTGAAGATTATAGTTATCAGGGAACCACGTAACAAGAAGGGAGTTCCACAGACGGGAAGTGCGAGATAAGAAGCTGTTGGAGTAGAAGAGACGGCTACAGCTAACCGTTTCGACAGTGAGACGGTGGGCCCGTGATGCCAACCTAGTAGCACGTTTAAATTCATGCAGGTTGGGAACCAGTGAACGTGGTTCGTCGGAGCAGGTGCCGTGAAAATACTTGTAGAAAAGACAGAGGGAAGCCACAGCACGCCTGTGAGAGAGTGACTGCAGATTAGATGCCAGATCAGAACCCATCACATTGCATATTCGTCTCTGGATTTTGTCGAGGACCTCGAGACGAACATATATAGCAGCAGTATTCCATGCAAGGAAGAATGGTTGATTTGTAGATTTGAAGGATGAAGAAAAACGGTCGGATGAGGCTATTGAGTCAATGTAACTGTTCCACCTCAAGTCAGTGGACAGCGTAAGACCAAGCAGGCGCAGAGAGCTGGGCATCAGCCATTCTGATGGAAGGCAGAGAGCGTTCTCTGTATTGGGTAAATGAGATCAGTTTCGTTTTGGAGGCATTAAAGCTTACAAGCCATTTCCTACCCCAGTTAACCACAAATTGAGGGTCATTTTCGAGGCCTACGGCCAGGTTAGTTTTGTCAGCAATGCCGGATTTACTATTGAATGATTTTTTTAATTTCTTTGTAATACTTTAACCAATTAAATAGAGATCAAATTATGGTTACAATCTCATACATTGTTTTAATTAGATCGGTAGATTTTTATGCATTCAAAGAATTTTGGAGTGTATCCTTTATTTACTCCACTATTCGTTTCCGATAGATTGACTCAGGATACACATGTAAATCTGGCCTGGAGCACCGGCATTTTTATGACGGCTAGTAGAAAAACCGACATGCGATACCGGCAAAGCAATCACATGCTGTCCTGAAGTAGGAAAAAGGAAATGGTTTAGATGAATAAATAAATGAAAACTTTTTGGATCAAGTGCCACTCTGCCGGAAGGTAGGGATTTACAGTCGTACTCGTATATATTGAGACCGAAGAAGCTGTGGAGGGCTGTAGTAGAGGGATGACAGAAAACCAGCCGCGAGCCGTTAGCATAGATGTTGAGATTTTCAGTCAGAGATTGGCAGTGGAACAGTTGGAATTTTCACTGACCGAAATGAAATTCGGTCCGTTAGCTGGTCGTGAAAGCAGCGAATGTGTCACTTACCTATCTAAAACCGCACCATTTGAATACGTAGATATGAATACCCAATATATGAAAAACAGGTATCAGGTTTCCTTTATTCACCGTTGGTTCCTTTGTTAGTCGTGTAACGGACCTTTTTCAGGTATTGTGCAGCGAAGTTGCCTTGTCGGTGAGAAAATCGGCCGTAAATTAACACCACGACTAAATATTGATTAGAAAAAAAAAACGAACAAGGTTTGAATCTCCAAAAGAGCCGAGAAGATAAATGTGTTCACTAGTGCATTAACATGGCGGCTAGGAGCCTATCACTCAGGCCAACCCGCTGATGCACCTGTCTTCTCTAGTGGACATTGTGTGAAAAGTTTATTATGGTATCATCTGATAAATTGATTTTTTTCTGATTATCAACCTTTTTCAGTTAATTTAAAGCCAGAAAATATTTTTATGTAAGAATTTTTTGTTGGAGATAATAATGGTTTAATTATACAAGTCATACTAATTGAGCCATAGCGGGGGGAGATGTGAATTCATGCTTTTTTTCGATAATATATCGAACCTAACGTTGCTTAAGATCGATGATCGTACGGAAACCATTGGTTCAACATGTTATTGCCCTAAGCCAGCATCATCAGATGTGTGTCACATCATACGAAAATATCTACATAGAGCGATATGTACATTAATTAATATCACACTTTTGATCGTGATATCGGATGATATAGAAGTTTAATTAAGTTTTCTCAGGGTGTAATATCTCTTCTTTTTATATAACTGAAAATACAATTAGTGATTATAAGATCAAAACCTCGATATGTAAAAGGTAACTTTAAACAATATATTGTACGCTTTAGCGTTTCAAACATTTATCATCTTCAAGTCGGGGTGGAGGGGTCTTTAAACTGACAAACAAACTGACATTATCTTGTTTTGTGCAGTAAATAAGTTGGAAACGACAGTCGAACAACATTGGAATCGGTGATTTGAAATCTGATAATGTAGCGATGTAGTGATTACGAGTAGAAATGCTCATGAGTAATACCATCAAGTAATGAAAGAAAAAGTTGATAAAATCTTTTCTTTTCTTTTTAAACCGGGATATCGAAACCTAATCAGTTGTTTGGGGACTGCTATCAAAAGACGTAATCGAAGTGTCACTGTCGTTAAGACTGACGACCAAATCTCCATTTTGAATAAAGGTATAAACGAAATCGAATGAATAATGAAAAAAAAAAAAAAGTGGAATCGCAGGGCAAACGGAGAAGGCAAAAGCCGAAGAAGGCAAACGCCGAAGAAAAACAGAGAAGAAAAGAAGGGAGTGGAAGGTAAATCAAGAAGAAGGGAAACGAGGAAGAAAGCAAAGGGAGAAGAAGGGGGATGAAGAAGGCAAACAAAGAAGAAAACAAATGAAGAAGACAAATGATGAAAAGGAAGAAAAACGTAAACGTAGAAAAAGCTAAACGGTGAAGAAGACAAAGAAGAGAAGGTAAATGAAGAAAAAGAAGGCAAATGAAAAAGAAGGGAAACAGAAAAGAAGATAAATTAAGAAGAAGGCGAACGGGGAAGAAAAAAATGAGAAGAAGGCAAATGAAGAAGAAGGCAAAAGAAGAAGGCAAATGAAGAAGTAGGCAAATGAAGAAGGCAAAGCTAAAAGAAGATGAAGAAGGCAAATGGAGAAGAAGGCAAATGAAAAAGGCAAAAGAAGAAGAAGGCAAAAGAAGAAGAAGGCAAAAGAAGAAGGCAAATGAAGAAGTAGGCAAATGAAGAAGGCAAAAGAAGAAGAAGGCAAAAGAAGAAGAAGGCAAAAAAAGAAGAAGGCAAAAGAAGAAGGTAAATATAGAAGGCAAATGAACAAGTAGGCAAATAAAGAAGGCAAACGTAAAAGAAGAAGGCAAATGAAGAAGGCAAATGAAAAAGGCAAGTGGAGAAGGCAAAAGAAGAAGAAGGCAAAAGAAGAAGAAGGCAACTGGAGAAGACGGCAAAGGAAGAAGGTAAATATAGAAGGCAAATGAACAAGTAGGCAAATAAAGAAGGCAAACGTAAAAGAAGAAGGCAAATGAAGAAGGCAAATGAAAAAGGCAAGTGGAGAAGGCAAAAGAAGAAGAAGGCAAAAGAAGAAGAAGGCAAAAGAAGAAGAAGGCAACTGGAGAAGACGGCAAAGGAAGAAGGTAAATATAGAAGGCAAATGAACAAGTAGGCAAATAAAGAAGGCAAACGTAAAAGAAGAAGGCAAATGAAGAAGGCAAATGAAGAAGGCAAATGAAAAAGGCAAGTGGAGAAGGCAAAAGAAGAAGAAGGCAAAAGAAGAAGAAGGCAAAAGAAGAAGAAGGCAAAAGAAGAAGAAGGCAAAGGAAGAAGGAAAATATAGAAGGCAAATGAACAAGTAGGCAAATAAAGAAGGCAAACGTAAAAGAAGAAGGCAAATGAAGAAGGCAAATGAAAAAGGCAAGTGGAGAAGGCAAAAGAAGAAGAAGGCAAAAGAAGAAGAAGGCAAAAGAAGAAGAAGGCAAAAGAAGAAGAAGGCAACTGGAGAAGACGGCAAAGGAAGAAGGTAAATATAGAAGGCAAATAAACAAGTAGGCAAATAAAGAAGGCAAACGTAAAAGAAGAAGGCAAATGAAGAAGGCAAATGAAAAAAGGCAAGTGGAGAAGGCAAAAGAAGAAGAAGGCAAAAAGAAGAAGAAGGCAACTGGAGAAGACGGCAAAGGAAGAAGGTAAATATAGAAGGCAAATGAACAAGTAGGCAAATAAAGAAGGCAAACGTAAAAGAAGAAGGCAAATGAAGAAGGCAAATGAAAAAGTGGAGAAGAAGCAAAAAAGAAGAAGAAGGCAACTGAGAAGACGGCAAAAAGAAGAAGAAGGCAAAAAAAAAGAAGAAGGCAACTGGAGAAGACGGCAAAGGAAAAGGAAGAAGGTAAAATAGAAGGCAAATGAACAAGTAGGCAAATAAAGAAGGCAAACGTAAAAGAAGAAGGCAAATGAAGAAGGCAAATGAAAAAAGGCAAATGCAAAAAAAGGCAATTGGAGAAGGCAAATGAAGAAGAAGGCAAAAAAGAAGAAGAAGGCAACTGGAGAAGACGGCAAAGGAAGAAGGTAAATATAGAAGGCAAATGAACAAGTAGGCAAATAAAGAAGGCAAACGTAAAAAGAAGAAGGCAAATGAAGAAGGCAAAAAGGCAAAAAAAGGCAAGTGGAGAAGGCAAAAGAAGAAGAAGACAAAAGAAGAAGAAGGCAACTGGAGAAGACGGCAAAAGAAAGAAGGTAAATATAGAAGGCAAATGAACAAGTAGGCAAATAAAGAAGGCAAACGTAAAAGAAGAAGGCAAATGAAGAAGGCAAATGAAAAAGGCAAGTGGAGAAGGCAAAAGAAGAAGAAGGCAACTGGAGAAGACGGCAAAAGAAGAAGAAGGCAAAAGAAGAAGAAGGCAACTGGAGAAGACGGCAAAGGAAGAAGGTAAATATAGAAGGCAAATGAACAAGTAGGCAAATAAAGAAGGCAAACGTAAAAGAAGAAGGCAAATGAAGAAGGCAAATGAAAAAAGGCAAATGAAAAAGGCAAGTGGAGAAGGTAAAAAGAAGAAGAAGGCAAAGAAAAAGAAGAAGAAGGCAAAAAGAAGAAGGTAAATATAGAAGGCAAATGAACAAGTAGGCAAATAAAGAAGGCAAACGTAAAAGAAGAAGGCAAATGAAGAAGGCAAATGAAAAGGCAAGTAAAAAAGAAGGCAAATGAAGAAAAAGAAGAAGAAGGCAAAAGAAGAAGAAGGCAACTGGAGAAGACGGCAAAGGAAGAAGGTAAATATAGAAGGCAAATGAACAAGTAGGCAAAATAAAGAAGGCAAAAAAAGTAAAAGAAGAAGGCAAATGAAGAAGGCAAATGAAGAAGGCAAATGAAAAAAAGGCAAGTGGAGAAGGAAAAAGAAGAAGAAGGCAAAAGAAGAAGAAGGCAAAAGAAGAAGAAGGCAAAGGAAGAAGGAAAAATATAGAAGGCAAATGAACAAGTAGGCAAATAAAGAAGGCAAACGTAAAAGAAGAAGGCAAATGAAGAAGGCAAATGAAAAGGCAAGTGGAGAAGGCAAAGAAGAAGAAGGCAAAAGAAGAAGAAGGCAACTGAAGAAGACGGCAAAGGAAGAAGGTAAATATAGAAGGCAAATGAACAAGTAGGCAAAAAAATAAAGAAGGAAACGTAAAAGAAGAAGGCAAATGAAGAAGGCAAATGAAAAAGGCAAATGAAAAAGGCAAGTGGAGAAGGCAAAAGAAGAAGAAGGCAAAAGAAGAAGAAGGCAAAAGAAGAAGAAGAAGAAAAAGAAGAAGAAGGTAAAATGAAGAAGAAGGCAACTGGAGAAGACGGCAAAGGAAGAAGGTAAATATAGAAGGCAAAATGAACAAGTAGGCAAATAAAGAAGGCAAACGTAAAAAGAAGAAGGCAAAATGAAGAAGGCAAATGAAAAAAAGGCAAGTGGAGAAGGCAAAAGAAGAAGAAGGCAAAAGAAGAAGAAGGCAACTGAGAAGACGGCAAAGGAAGAAGGTAAAATATAGAAGGCAAAATGAACAAGTAGGGCAAACAAAGAAGGCAAACGTAAAAGAAGAAGGCAAATGAAGAAGGCAAATGAAAAAAAAAGGCAAGTGGAGAAGGCAAAAGAAGAAGGCAACTGAGAAGACGGCAAAAGAAGAAGAAGGTAAAAAGAAGAAGAAGGCAACTGAGAAGACGGCAAAGGAAGAAGGTAAAATAGAAGGCAAATGAACAAGTAGGCAAATAAAGAAGGCAAACGTAAAAAGAAGAAGGCAAAATGAAGAAGGCAAATGAAAAGGCAAATGAAAAGGCAAGTGGAGAAGGCAAAAAAGAAGAAGAAGGCAAAAAGAAGAAGAAGGCAAAAAAGAAGAAGAAGGCAACTGGAGAAGACGGCAAAGGAAGAAGGTAAATATAGAAGGCAAAATGAACAAGTAGGCAAATAAAGAAGGCAAACGTAAAAGAAGAAGGCAAATGAAAAAGGCAAATGAAAAAGGCAAGTGGAGAAGGCAAAAGAAGAAGAAGGCAAAAGAAGAAGAAGGCAAAAGAAGAAGAAGGCAACTGGAGAAGACGGCAAAGGAAGAAGGTAAATATAGAAGGCAAATGAACAAGTAGGCAACTAAAGAAGGCAAACGTAAAAGAAGAAGGCAAATGAAGAAGGCAAATGAAAAAGGCAAGTGGAGAAGGCAAAAGAAGAAGAAGGCAAAAAGAAGAAGAAGGCAAAAGAAGAAGAAGGCAACTGAGAAGACGGCAAAGGAAGAAGGTAAATATAGAAGGCAAATGAACAAGTAGGCAAATAAAGAAGGCAACGTAAAAGAAGAAGGCAAATGAAGAAGGCAAATGAAAAGGCAAATGAAAAGGCAAGTGGAGAAGGCAAAAGAAGAAGAAGGCAAAAGAAGAAGAAGGCAAAAGAAGAAGGTAAATATAGAAGGCAAATGAACAAGTAGGCAAATAAAGAAGGCAAACGTAAAAAGAAGAAGGCAAATGAAGAAGGCAAATGAAAAGGCAAGTGAAGAAGGCAAAAGAAGAAGAAGGCAAAAAGAAGAAGAAGGCAACTGAGAAGACGGCAAAGGAAGAAGGTAAATATAGAAGGCAAATGAACAAGTAGGCAAATAAAGAAGGCAAACGTAAAAGAAGAAGGCAAATGAAGAAGGCAAATGAAAAAAGGCAAGTGGAGAAGGCATGAAAGAAAAGAAGAAGAAGGCAAAAGAAGAAGAAGGCAAAAGAAGAAGAAGACGGCAAAGGAAGAAGGTAAATATAGAAGGCAAATGAACAAGTAGGCAAATAAAGAAGGCAAATATAGAAAAAAAGAAGAAGGCAAATGAAGAAGGCAAAATGAAAAGGCAAATGAAAAAAGGCAAGTGGAGAAGGCAAAAGAAGAAGAAGGCAAAAGAAGAAGAAGGCAAAAGAAGAAGAAGGCAACTGGAGAAGACGGCAAAGGAAGAGGGTAAATAGAAGGCAAAAATGAACAAGTAGGCAAATAAAGAAGGCAAACGTAAAAGAAGAAGGCAAATGAAGAAGGCAAATGAAAAGGCAATGAAAAGGCAAAAAAAGGCAAGTGGAGAAGGCAAAAGAAGAAGAAGGCAAAAGAAGAAGAAGGCAAAAAAAAAGAAGAAGGTAAATATAGAAGGCAAATGAACAAGTAGGCAAATAAAGAAGGCAAACGTAAAAGAAGAAGGCAAATGAAGAAGGCAAAAAAAAAAGGCAAGTGAAGAAGGCAAAAGAAGAAGAAGGAAAAAAAAGAAGAAAGGCAACTGGAGAAGACGGCAAAGGAAGAAGCTAAATATAGAAGGCAAATGAACAAGTAGGCAAATAAAGAAGGCAAACGTAAAAGAAGAAGGCAAATGAAGAAGGCAAATGAAAAAGGCAAGTGGAGAAGGCAAAAGAAGAAGAAGGCAAAAAGAAGAAGAAGGCAAAAAGAAGAAGAAGGCAACTGGAGAAGACGGCAAAGGAAGAAGGTAAATATAGAAGGCAAATGAACAAGTAGGCAACTAAAGAAGGCAAACGTAAAAGAAGAAGGCAAATGAAGAAGGCAAATGAAAAAGGCAAATGAAAAAGGCAAGTGGAGAAGGCAAAAGAAGAAGAAGGCAAAAGAAGAAGAAGGCAAAAGAAGAAGGTAAATATAGAAGGCAAATGAACAAGTAGGCAAATAAAGAAGGCAAACGTAAAAGAAGAAGGCAAATGAAGAAGGCAAATGAAAAAGGCAAGTGAAGAAGGCAAAAGAAGAAGAAGGCAAAAGAAGAAGAAGGCAACTGGAGAAGACGGCAAAGGAAGAAGGTAAATATAGAAGGCAAATGAACAAGTAGGCAAATAAAGAAGGCAAAACGTAAAAAGAAGAAGGCAAATGAAGAAGGCAAATGAAAAGGCAAGTGGAGAAGGCAAAAGAAGAAGAAGGCAAAAGAAGAAGAAGGCAAAAGGAGAAGAAGGCAACTGAAGAAGACGGCAAAGGAAGAAGGTAAAATAGAAGGCAAATGAACAAGTAGGCAAATAAAGAAGGCAAACGTAAAAGAAGAAGGCAAATGAAGAAGGCAAATGAAAAAGGCAAATGAAAAAGGCAAGTGGAGAAGGCAAAAGAAGAAGAAGGCAAAAGAAGAAGAAGGCAAAAGAAGAAGAAGGCAAAAGAAGAAGAAGGCAACTGGAGAAGACGGCAAAGGAAGAAGGTAAATATAGAAGGCAAATGAACAAGTAGGCAAATAAAGAAGGCAAACGTAAAAGAAGAAGGCAAATGAAGAAGGCAAATGAAAAAGGCAAGTGGAGAAGGCAAAAGAAGAAGAAGGCAAAAGAAGAAAAAGGCAAGTGGAGAAGACGGCAAAGGAAGAAGGTAAATATAGAAGGCAAATGAACAAGTAGGCAAATAAAGAAGGCAAACGTAAAAGAAGAAGGCAAATGAAGAAGGCAAATGGAGAAGAAAGCAAAGGAAGAAGAAGATAAACGTAGAAGGTAAATGAAGTAGGCAAACGTAGAATATGACAAATAAGGCAAATGAAGAAGGCATGCAAAACGATAGGAAGTAATTTCGGGAAATGGGAAGTAAGAGAGAAAACAAAAAGATGAGAGATTAAAAAAAATGTACGAACAGTGGCAATTAACTGTAAAAGAAAACAAAAAATTGTTAGGTAAAAATTAGAACCGTTCATCTTCAAAATGCGATAACCTTTTACAACGTAGGAAGTCATGGATCTCCACATTTGGTTTTATTTGTGACCCCTGCAGACTCCCGATGGATTATATGGCTACAGTCTCATCCGGCTACGTATTGCTGCCGTGGTTTCCATAGCAATAGGTATTTTACGAGGTGTTAACCCCCACATCTACGCGGTTTGACATTCAGTGCTGTCCGCTTCCTACACTTTTTTTTCTATCCAAAGCCAAAGATCCCAGTCTTCTCTCCTGCTATAAACCTGTAGCTGACAGGGTCGGGGATGAAGTGAGAAGATGCTTTTTAAATGGGTATTTGTGACAACGCAACGCACTCTATTTCAATCTGAATTTCGTCTCGCCAATCCAGCTTTCTGTGCCGATAATCGCCACACCACGTGCACACACCCAGGTCTTTTCACTTTAATACGTCTGGATTTCCCTGGTTTTCTGGGAATAATAATGGAGTTGTTCACCCTTGCTTTCTCAGCGGTTTAAATGCCAATGTCGTCCTTCTTCTAGATTGGTTGCCAAATTAAGGCTAGAGAACCCAGTCAACCCTTCTAGGGGGAGAACAAATGAATTCATACATTCCCCCAATGAGATTAGGAACGGAAGAGACTAGATCGAGATTTGAACTCGGATCGATGTTTCCACTTTTTGTATCAGGAAGCAGACGGCTACTTTTATATAACTGATTGAGTAGGAAGACAAATACGATGATATTAATTAGTGAGTGTTTATAACATTTAGTTTTAAATATTTTATACTTAACTTTTAATATAATACGGTGTATGTTAAACACTTTTGTTTTTAACAGAAAATAAAGAGGGAAAATAATTATAGCTCTTTAGCATTGCAAAAATAATTGCATAAATTTAAAGTGGCTATCGAAGGTTTTAAAACTTTATAAAAGGAATAAGATTGGAAAAGGATAAAATTCGTTTTACAAATTTTATATTTATTGTATGAATAATGTATAAGTTTTTGTAACCCTATGCTCTTTTGAATCGATGAACTTTTGTTCAAAAGTAATGAAAAAAGGCATTAATTTGTTTTAGTTCAGGAAAAAGGTCAGCCTAAACAAAAATTCAACTTTACCATAAACGCAATAAGGATAAAAGATCAAAATATTTCAGAAACTTTATTTTTTAATTTGCTAATGATTTAATTGGATAATATTAATGTAGTTCTTAACGCATTTAACAGTTAGTAGACATAGCAAAACATACAAATTCTCCAAGAAGTTCTAGAAAGTTCCAGAAAGTCATAGTACTACTATACTTATATACGAATTTATAAAATTAGTGTTGGGAGTGACATTTAAAAAAATAATGAATTAAAGTCTTCTTCATTATTTTTTAACAAAAGTTTATCGAATTATGAAACAGGAAAAAATCAATTATTTTACTAAATGTCACAACCTTAATGAATATATAAAAGATTTTTGTCATAAGTTTGTAAATCGACTGTCGATTGGCAATTTAAATAAACGGTGGGAAAAATATGTTCCCCGAGTGTAACTGGTGTGGATTTACTGTGGATTGTTTTCTCATGGATCATAAACCCATTGTATTATCATGGCTATTTTTTCGAATGATAAGACGTTTTGGAGAACCGCCGTCGCCATGTCCTGAAAGGAAATGATATATAAAATCTGAAGAAGAATTTGACAACACATCAAATGGCCCTCAAGGAAAAATTAAAAAAAGCTGTCGGGGAAATAAACGACGGGCTAAAAATTTGGGAATCATCATCATCATCATCATCAACGTCATCTTCTTCTTCTCCTTGTTCGTCTTCTGCTATATACTCATTTCTCAACGAGAGACCTAAGGTCAGAAATGTCATCATGATATTTTCCACTAAGTATCTGTTGAAAAAAAAAAATCTAAGATCATACACATTTTACATAGATAAAGCCCTTTGCAAGGTATGAGCTGGACTTGTGAGGACATTTTTTTGCATTTCTTTAAGACTTGGGCTACCGACGATCGCTTTAATGAGTCTATCGGAATCTTTTCCAATCGAATCGGGGGCTCCGACTACAATTAGAACTGGTGATGTCCACACGTGCCTCATTTTTGGGACTTCGATTTCAAGGTTCTTGTATTTTGATAGTTTTCGAAGCTCTTCAAAGATACATTAATAGCTGCAGCAACTACCATGTCAATAAGAAGGCTTATCCTGTTTTTGTGATCTCTAATTACGATGACTGGGCGATTAGCTTTGATCGTTCTTTTTTGTGTGTAAATTCCTATAAAATTGTTATAGGTTCTATGTCGGTAACCGCATCTGCGTGGTGTTTTTGCAGTATCCTTTCAGTAAAAGATGCATATTTTTTACTGCAGATATTGGCCTACTCTGTCGTGTCGTGTTTTATATCCAGTGGAATCCAATACTATACAACCTGATACAAAATGATCATTTGTTTCTGGATATTTATCCAAGAATCATCATTTTGGGCTAATACAATTTTTCAGTGTGTGTGCTTCTAGTTACCAAGCATTGTTCATGTGCATCTTCGGTTTCAGTTTCCTGCACTAAGTAACCGCTGATGGGTATGGGGTTGGTATGGGGTTTGTCTACATCATCTTGTTTGGTACGGGTAGAATATTGACCATGAAGAGGCTTATCTTGCCATCGTTTTTATATTTGGTACATTGCACCTGCTTTTGCTCTCTTTTTTAGTTTCTTTTCCGCCGCAGTATGTGCATTATGGTTTACTTGCACTTCTTCCTTCACTTGAAATTCCATCTTGAATTCTTTGGCTTCCTTTAATACTGAATAAAGTTTCTTATTTCTTTCATGAAACAGGTCATCATCCATTCTCCTGTAGTTTCCAGTTATCCGATTATTTTAGTTTTGTAAGACAGTTCTAGTTGAACTAATCCTCTACCTTCTTTGGATCTGGGCACATACAGATGATCAACATCAGCCTTAGCTTGATGCATGATGTTTTTTAAGGCAATTCATCCAAAGCAAGGCGGGCGATCCACTAGCACGCAAGGGGTTTACAGAGGATTGAGAACAAGTGTAAAGAGGCGTGTTTGAGGAAAGGATACAGAGAAGGACGAGGAACAAGCTCACGATGTCAGATGACAATTGACATTACACTTGAATATTTGAAGATTATAGTCATTGGGGAAGCAAGTCAGGGGAACGGATTTCCACAGACGGGAACTGCGGGAGAAGAAGCTGTTTAAATAGAAGAGACGGTTACATTGAACCGTTTTGACAGTGAAAAGGTGGGACCAAGATGCCAGCCTAGTAGCTCGCTTAAATTCATATAGCCCGGGAACCAGCGAAAGAAGCTCGTCGGAACGGTTGACGTGAAAATACTTGAAGAGACAGAGGGAGGCCATGGCACGTCTGTGGGATAGCGATTGTAGACTAGATGCCGGATCAGGACCTATCATCTTGCAGATTCGTCTCTGGATTTTGTCGAGGACTTCGAGATGAACAGCGGGAGCACTAGTCCATATATGACAGCAATATTCCATGCAAGGACGGATGGTTGATTTATAGATTTGAAGGATGAACTCAGGCGAGAAAAACCTTCTGGCGCGACATAGAGAGCCAACTTTCCTTGCGGTAGATGAAGCTAGTGATTCAATGTATTTATTCCACCCCTTGTCAGTGGATAGCGTGAGACCAAGCAGGCGTAACGAGGCGCTCTCAAGGAGTTCAGAATCAGTCATGCTGATGGGTGGTAGGAAGTGTTCTCTATGGTGGGTAAAGGAGAGCAGTTTCGTTTTGGAGGCATTAAAGTTTACAAGCCATTTCCTGTCCCAGTCAACCAAAGCCAGGTTAGTTTTGTCAACGATACCAGATTTACTATTGAGGCAGGAGTAAATAGTGGTGTCGTCCGCGTAGATGCCAACTTGGGAGCTGGTGTCATCGGGAAGGTCATTGATGAAGATCAGTGACAGTGTAGGGCCCAAGATAGAGCCTTTGGGGACACCAGCGTTCGTGATAAAGGAGCCGGAGGAGAACGCGTTTAGGACGACCTCCATTTCACGGTTTGACAAGAATGATTGTATCAAGTCAAATAACCGCCCTGCAATACCGTATCCATGAAGCTTACGAAGAAGGCCAGCATGCCAAACCCTATGTCTAGAGCCACGGCTCGACCTTCTCCATTATTGCTGAGTGCTTGGTATACAAATTCAGTTATGGCCGTGAGGACTTCAGCGGGAGATCGGGCAAAGCGGAAACCATATTGCTTGTCGGAGAGCAGATTATGTGAAGTAAGGTGCTTAACCACTTCGGCGTTGATCAAAGCCTCGAAGATTTTAGCGAAGAATGGCAGAAGACTGATAGAACGGTAGTTAGCCGGGTCACCAGAGTTCTTAAAGACAGGCACAACAGATGAGGACTTCCAAGAGGTTGAAACATTTACGTTTTGATATCCATTCGCTTAATGTCAGCTATGGTCCAGTTAAAGATGTTGAAATTGTATTGTACCACAGGGACAGCCCCAAAGTGTTTATTGCTGATATTCTGTTTTGTGAATTCAGCTCCATATTTAACAACAGACGCACTCACTTGTAGTATTATTTTCTTACTTTATGCTACTTTTGGGTATGCTGCATTCAATGTCCTTCGCTGACACCGAGATATTTATAGGCTTCTACTTGTTCCAGTTCTTTAATCTTTGTGACAAAATTAGTGTAAATCTCCCTTTCTTGAATCTTTTGCACATTCGTCTAATCCGAAATCCATATCGATGTCATCATCACGGAAACATTTTACAGTATTGAGGAGACCCTTCAACTCATTGTCGTCTTTGGCAAAGGGTTTGATATCATCTATGTAGAATAGGGGATTAACCCGTTTTTCCTGAACAATTCTAAC